GGAAAGCCTAGTAAACATAATGTTCTTCATGTAATTGTAGATTAATGATAGCAAAATAATAATAATAATAATAATAATAATAATAATAATAATAATAATAATAAAAAGATATTCAAAGGCCTCTATGAACTGTTTCCAAACTACCCTTCCAGCTGCATTTCCCTCTTACTGTGCTTCTTGCTGTCCACATTTTCATATCTCTGGGCTATTTATTTTTAGGTACTGTTTTTAAGTGCTTTATAAAGACTAATCCCTCGAGGAGGCTATTGTTGTTATTATTATTATTTATTATTATCTCAGCCACAAAGAAGTGAAGAGGTTTGTCCCAGGAGCAGGAGGCAGGATCGAAACCCACACAGCCTGCTTACAAAGTCAGCTGTTAGCCACTCACTGCACCAAGCCTCCACCACTTTGTTCTGCTCCTACTGAAGGTGAATGCATGCGGCAAGCCTTGCTCTTACACGACTGCCCATAAACCCCTTCCAAGCCTACAGTCAGAATTCCCTGCCCCTTCCTAGGGCTCCCAGAGCACAGAGCATACACTCCTTCGGGCAACCTAACTATAGTTTGGTCGGTGTTGGGGCAGCTGTGCAACATTCATTCATCTGTCCCATCAACAGAACATGCCTGAGCCCCAACCACGTGCCAGACACCGGGACTAGGACTCAGGACTGATGGTCACTAGGCAGCAGTCCCTGCCATGGCTGATAAAAATAGTTCTGGAATTGTACGCTCCACACGCAGTTATAAGGCTTCCCAAGACTCAGCCTACTTACTTCTCTCTACAACCCAGTACTCCGATGAAAAACCTCACAGGTGAGCAAAGAGGGCAGCAACTTTCCCACAGTCACATACTAGTAAATGGTGGTGTCTGGCTCCTGAGTTTGTTTTCCAGACAGAAAAATCCCCTACAGAGCGGGAACTGCCAGGGCAGGACCTAGGACAGGGGCTGCAGGAGTGCCAAGGAGGGGACATACCAGGACAATCTGACTGCCTTCACCTACACCCCACTCCCCCCGCTACGAGCTCCAAGAGGGCAGAGACCATGGCTATTCCTATGGACTGTATTCCAGCATATCACCTGCAACCCAGTTTGCTACTGAATGGAGCAGAATTGTCAAAATCTTAGAATATCTGCTTCAAAAAGTCCCTATTCTTGGGGTCTTGGAGAATTGAGGCTATGGACCAGCAAGAATGGAGATAAAGACAAGAATGGAGTTCAGAGTCCTCAATTTGGATTCACTGAAAAAAATGCCATTTGGATTTAGTAAAATGCTGGGTTTGTGGACCATGTGTGTCCATAGCTTAGTCCCACTGGCCACTAATAAAAACCTGGCATGAAAGAGTCCTTGCGGGCGGGTGCAGGCTCCCCAGTGAGAGGCCCCAGAGCCCACACTGACAGTCAAGATGTGCTCACAGTGCTCTAGCTTGCCCCC